AAGGGTAGGGACTCTACTTCTTAATGCCCTCCAGAGCCCTCCAGGCTCTCCTGGACCTAAATCCACCAATTTTTAAAATCCCATATTTTAAGTCCTACAAACTTATAAGATTCTGCCCTTCTCACCTTAAAAGCCATATGGAATGGGGATCTGTCTTCCCTGTGAGGGCTCTCCAGTGTAACAGTCTGTATTTTTGCCTTTTTCCACACCATGGGCTCCCTCCCCACTGCTGACAGTCACAGTCTGGTCTTATTCATTCCCAAACCTCATCTTCACCTTTCCTGCCTTCTTTGATGTGGCCTCTTCTCTACCTTTAGTTGTGGAGTCTGTTCTGCTAGTCCTCAGGTTGGCTTTTGTATTATTCATGATGATGTGAGTGTTATCTAGTTATATTTGTGGGACAAGGAGAATTTAGGGTCCTCCTGGCTGGTCCTATTCCCAGGTCCAACCAAGTGATTTTGGAACTTTAGCCAGTTTTTTCTGGCTTATTTTTATTTGTATAGTTATCTTCCAGAAATAAGAAATTGGTTTGTCCCTATAAGTACTCTGCGAGTGTGAGTGTATGTGTGCGTGCATGCACAAATGCCTGAAATGACTAAACATCTTACTTCTGTGCCATCAAAATTCTTGGCAAAATACCTAGAGAATGCTTTTGTGTATTAACATACAGAATAGTAGGCACATAGAGCTTAGATAGAACTTTGAGGTTATCACATTAAATCTTAATAAACTACTTCGCCAATTCACATAATCATCAATTCACTCAACAAATATTTTTGAGTACTTACGTATTAAGAACTGTCGTTAGTGCCAGGAGGATAAAGATGAACAAATAAGACGTGCTTTTCAACTGAGAAGGCTTACATTCTAGTGGGTGAAGAGATACAGACCACAGACAAATGTTTGCACAAGGAGGTCAGGTGAACATTCCAGGAGTACAGACTAAGAAGGTGCTCTCTGGGCTGATTCTTAGCCAGTTTGCTTTCCCTCAACCACTGCAGTGCTTTTGCTCAAGCACTAGCAGTGCATGTTTGGAGAGCAAATGTTTTCCTACTGAGCTCAAAGCCACCATCTCATCTTTTCCATCCAGGTGGGATGGGTCCAGGTGTTGCCAATCTTCACTTAGTCCTTTAGATGTTTGTCCTTTTGAGTCTTTTTCTTTTACAATTAAACATCTAAATTTGTACATTTTTCCCTTTCCTTGACTTTTATTAGATTGCTATTTTCTAATATATCAAAATGGCCCTTAAACTATACTCCCCAAACCTTTATAAAATACTGCAGATATACTCAACTTTTGAACAAGTGCAATGTAACTATCACCTCCAATGTAACTATCACAAGACAAAACATTTGTGCTTTCAAAGTCTAAGATCACATGAATGTGTTTGCCACATAACATTCTCTTATTTAAATTATGAGTTAACATCTAGTCTTTTTTCTAAGCCAGATGCCAAAGAGGTATTAAATATCACAGCATTAAATAAATTAAAAATAAAAATAGAAAAATATTGCAATGATAGTACTTTATATGGGCTGAGATTTGAGGTTTGGACTGTAAAATATGCCCTATACTGTCAGATTCAAGAAGTCTCAAATGGTTGCCAGAGCTGGAACATGGCACTGATTTTAAGATCATAGTAGCTCACTTAGGCTCATGTTAAAATTGCAGTCAACTAAAATCCCCATGTGCATATTTTATATAAATGGCTTTGATATCAAATGTACCAATATTTTATTCCAGTTATAGTTTATCTTACTAGTTTCTACTTGATTATGTTATTCAAAAGCTATGTGGCCCACCTGGTTTTTTGCCATCTGCAGATTTGCTAATTATGCATTTGTTTTTTTGATAGTCCTACAAGTAATTGTTCCAAAACCAAGGATGAAACAAAGCTTTATTTTTCTGCTTAACATTTATTTTGAATTGCTTTTTCTCAATATTAGTTATATATAATTTATTTTTTAAAAGATTTATCAGATGGTTTTCTCATCAAGTAATTCACTAATACCTTTTTTAAAAATAATTTACTAATATTTTGTGGCATAATTTTAATACTATCTTCAAAATATAAAACATTAGATTCCAGAGTTTTGATATGCTACTAAATCATATGAAAATAGACAATAGTATCTGTTCTGTTAAGCAATTTTTAGCCATGTTGACTCAAATTGTAGAGACTGACATGTGCAGACTCACTCTGCAAACATACTAAATCACTCTATCATGTTTTCATTTAAACATTTTTGATATTATAATAAGTGAAAACAAGAGAGTCATGGGATACTTTCAGATATCCTTAATGGCCTTGCTATTATCATACACACTAAAAACCAACTGAGCAAGAACTGAACTGATTTCACTGATCATGTAAAGCCCCAAAGGAGCTTAGAATCTTCTAAGAAGAAAAGCACAGCAAGTGGGAGTAAGGTGCTGAAAATACAACTGTGGTTTGGTGATATGTACAGAGTATGGTAGGAGGTAAAGAAAAGGAAGGTGCTCAGGAAGGATTTTGTAGAAAAGATGTTAAGATGTTTGAGTTGAATCAGATGCTAACAGGTAAGATAATAAAGAGTATTACAGAAAGAGGTAAGAGTACAGGCACAGGAAAGGAAGAAGGAGTTAAACAAGAGGTTTTATACTTTAAGGAACTAATGTGGAGAGAGATGAAGCTGGTACATTTAGTAGGAACTGGGTCATGATGGTCATTGTGTACCATGCTGAAGGATTAGGAATTGAATTTTTCAGAGGATTGCTCTCATTTCTATAGTTTTATGGGAAGATCCTGAAAATTATATTTCAATATTTCTATTAAAAGCCAAAGTTGAAATATTATAAATTGAAGGCATCTCTATTAGATAAGAACTCAGTAAATTCCTTAGTTTCCCCAAATACAATCCGGCCTTCTTACTGTGTCTCTAGAAGCATAGTAGTTGAGTCTTCCTACTGAAACTATCCTAAAATTTCTCTTTATTTATACTGTTATATAACAGTCTCAAAATAAGTAACTTAAAATCACATTTGGTTAAAAAATGTATTGGTGAATTTCTAATAAAAAATTGGAATAAGGATTGTTGTAGGTTATGGATTGAGAGTTTACTGATAATCAGTTTCTACTGACATTTTCAATATTTCAAAATACAGCCTAATTCACAATGAGGATTTATCATTTGTAAGATTTTTGAGAATATTTACACTTAGGCAGAAGTATGAGATTTTTCTAAAACAATAGAACAGACAAATTACCTTTAAATATTTAAAAGGGAATCACGAGTTACAGGCACTCCATAATTTTTAATGTATTATTTGTTAACAGACTTTTTAAAAAATTATTTATTTATCTGACAGAGAGAGCATGCACAGGAGCACAAGCAGGGGGAGTGGCAGGGAGAGGGAGAGAGACGTAGACTCCCTACCACTGAACACAGAGCCAGGTGTGGACTCATCCCAGGACCCTGGGATCATGACCTGAGTTGAGTTAAAGGCAGACGCTCAACCAATTGAGCCACCTAGGTGCCCCTGTTAACAGACTTTTAAGGAAAAAAACAACAATCTTGCCTTCAAAAATACTGCAACTGTAGTTTATATTCAAGTTTGTATCTGAATATCCATTAAACCTACACATTTAAGTTCTATTTTTCAAAACTTTAAGCTTCTATTATTTTAACTTTTTCTTATAATTCATTATCAATGGCATCTTTATATAAAGTATACATACATAAAGTTATATATGTACTTCAAATGGGGTAGATACACAGACACACACACACACACACACTCACATACATTCTCAGAGGAAATAGCAAAAATAGCCACCAGTAAAAATGAAATTTGAAAAGCATTGGAAGTGTTCTGCAAAATCCTTTGATTGTGGTAAATTACGCATCATGAAGTGTACATGTAATTAAAATATTTAGAAAAAGATTTGGTTTGTTTAGGTTCAGCATGCATTGTTTATGCTGCAAGTTAATGAAGATTATAGTTTTATTTTTTTAAAATATTTTATTTGAGCACGTGTGTGTGCATGCACAAGCAAGCAAGCAAATAGAGAGGAGAAAGAGAGAGATCACAAGCGGGATGGAGGGACAGAGGGAGAAGCCGATTCCCCAATGAGCAGGGAGCAGAGATCCTGATACGGCTGGATTCCAGGGTCCTGGGATCATGACTTGAGCCAAAGGCAGAAGCTCAACCAACTGAGCCACCCACTCACCTCAAAATTATGGTTTTAAAGAGCATGTGCATTTTATTTTATAGAACAGGTACTTCTATTTTTTTTTTTTTTAAATAGAACAAGATGGTGTTCGTTGTCCTTTGGTAAGTCATGTTTTATGCATATTATAACATTTTGAATAATAAAATATTAATCTAAAAAATTGATTTTCCAAAAATAGTCTTTAAGGAGTTAATAGGGGTTTCTAAAATAGATCAGAGCCTTAAAATAAAGACAACTGATCCACTAAAAATTTGGATAGAAACAAACAGTAAAATTTCACATACATCTGGAACCGTAGTTACGTTCTAATCCCAAATTGCTTATTTTTCAAATAAAGTTCTCTCTAAATCTTCCTAGGAGGGCAAGACTCTTTCAAAATGGAGAGGGAAAGAAAACAGTTAAATAAAATAAACATAAGTGTCATTTTCACTGAAGTAGATTTCACACAAAAACAACACAAGGCAACTGTTGACAGTATCTCTTAAACAGCTGAAAGGCATCTGCAAAGCCTGAAGATTTGAAAATATACATTTATACCAAATGTATTTATAAAAATCTGTTTTGAGGTTTGTGAAAAATAAGTTCAATCTCCCTTTTCCTCCAAAGTATGCATGGTATATATGCTAACTTACTGAATTCATCCTTCATGCAATTCCAGTTTATTAAAGAGGTTAAAAATTTATAAAACTCTGATGGGATATGGTTTTAATGCTTCATCACACTACCCATCATTTGCTTTTCAATCTAGATCAGAATGATCTTTCCTACTTCCCTGCAATCACCTACCTGCACAGCTAATATTTTCTGAATACTCTCTTGAGAGTCTGTCTGGAACTTGGCCAGCCTCATCTGGCTGTAGAGGACCACCAGTTTGAAGTGCTTCTGCCACACCTTGTGTATCCTTCTTTGCAGCTGACAGAGCTAAAGGGAAGAGGGAGGGGGAAAAACACAAGTCAGAGTAGGAGAGGAAATTAATGGCAGTGTTCAAGAAGAATGATGGAGGGAAATATAGAAAGCAGTCAATAGCCCATTCTGCACTGTACGGACCTGACAGGAATTTCACAGTCTCTTGATTTTTCAGCCCACTCATGTGCATTCATCAGAAACCAGTCACATCTGGCCGCCAGGATGGGGGGTTAATTTTCTCTAAATGCCTCAGCAGTTTTGTTCTAGCTGAGGCAAACTCTGTGACTGCAAAGCTGATGAGTAAAATATTTCTACTTCACCCAGTTTAACTCAAAACCGATAGCCTCGGGACATATTGAACCTTTCTCTAAAAAAATAATCTTTTGAAGCTTTTTTGAATGGCACATCAGGTCAAGCCAAAGTTTAAAAATGCAACTTTAAGACTTTGATGGACACTATTGCTTCCTTTGTTTTTTTTTTTTTTTTCTCATAAAGCTTACCATTGCTTGGCAATGTGTGCTTTAGAGCATGACAAAACTAAAGAGAATTAACTTAGCCATCAACTGCTGAGGGAAAACAATAACAGAGAAGAGATTTCCAGCTAGAATTCCCTATTAATCTACCTCCCTCTGACTATGTGACATGGAAACATCCCACTGCACTAAAGTACAGTGGACGCGATGTTTAGAGGTGACACATCTAATACCGAATATACACAGAAAAAGAATTTCTCCTGTGAGGCATTCTATACTTTTTGTTTTGTTGTTGATGTTACAACAACAAACACGGTAGAAGTTTTACCAAGACAATTAATATATGTCCCTCAACAGTTAACATAGCCACACCATATAGAGTTGCAATAATTAGATTATTTCCAAAGAAATAAACTTCATAAGAATAAATGATAAAAACAGTATATTAAAATATATTCTGTCACTGAAACCTCTTTTTTTTTTGGTAATGTGGATTGTTGTTGATTTTTTCTTAGTATATTTTGCAGAATGAAAAACAAACACTAAAAATTTCATATCAGACATTTCTTCACAACAGAATAAAAGCATGTCACAAAGTATGGCTATTTTATGTTTTATTTATTGACCTAGGTACTGGGTATATGTACGAGATCCTTTGCAAAACTTCACCAGACTGTGCATGGATGAATTTCTCTGGAAGCATATTTCAATAAAATAGTTTATTTAAAAATAACAGTTTTAAAAATAGTCACCTGGCATTGCATGTTTATGATCATTATCTTCACTATGAATTGTAATAAGCAATACACAGATATTTATGCAAGCCAACAGAATAATGAAACCACTACTCTTGGTTAATTGGCTAACTTGTGAAATAAGAATAACCTTGAAAACTATAGAATTTTCAGCTTGGTAAATGCTGAAATATGTTATCTGGAATTTAAGGACATTTGAATTAAATGTTAACATCATATATTTAATAGTTATAATATATAGTTATAATAATTATAATATTTAATAGTTTTAATATAATATTTAAATAATTTTTTTCCTGCCAACTCTGACTGCCACTGGGGGAGCATATGCTATATCTAGAAATACTCACTAAGACATTAAGACACTTTAGTTTTTGCATTGCACAATTATGATGGTATCTGCAATATGACAAGGGCAAATAAGAAGAGGAAGATGAGTTTTAGAGGAATTCCTTAAACTGAAGGTAACTTTTTTCCAAGTGGGAGCTCTCAACATGTGAAAGGTTTTACAAGTGGGAGCTCATTAAGCAAAGTGAACTGAATGGTACTGTTTCCCATATCCATATCTTACACGAGGAGAAACAGCTGCATACAGTAAATCTAGTTTATTCACTTTTCTGAATTCTAGCTTCTGAATTTTAGCCACAAAGGTCTTAGATTAGTTTATATACAAGTGTTCAGCTACTTAACTAGAGAAGTTCCTTATGTATCAACTAAAAAAGAATAATATCTCAAAAGAGTGTTTGTTTGTTTAGTTTTTAAATTTATAGCTAATGGGCCTCTGAAAAAAGAACTGGGACAGAAACAAACTGAAGGAATTCCTAGAATAAGCATCCGATAAAAGTCACAAATATACACATACATATCTACATTAAAGACAATTAGATGATCAACAATAATATATATGGAAAAATACTTCAGGTGCTAGAAATGACAGTTGATTCAATCTAAGATTTGAATATGCTGACAAACTATTTTAAGAAAATAGTTATGATAAAAGCCCAATTGTAAGATGTTAGTAGACAGTAATTACTCAATAAATACTGAAATTAACTCAATTAAGTGAACCGGTAAAATTTTAGTGGTGAAGCATAGAAGCAAGTAAGACTCTTAAGAACTTACTAATTAATGAGAGAAGAGAAAAATAAACAAAGTGAATGTAAGAGATACAAAAATATGTAAAGGTAACACTAAAGAGAGAGAATTCAGTTGAGTGGAAATGTCCTTTGGGTAGACATAGAATTTAGGTTGGAAAGCCGAAGGAACTGGAATGATTTTTGATCTTTCCAACTTCAATTAACCTAGTGTTTTTGAAATGAAACTCTCCTATTCCTAAAATGATTATATTCTTGCCGTCTCCTTCAGATTTTAAGGAAGATAAGGTGAGATGAGGGAAGAAGTGTTAGAGAAACAAAAAAGAACCGTAAGGGATACAAATACATTGGATGGGGTTACAGCAAGGGCACTGTAGGAACTGCCATGTACTCAGGAGTAGGAATGGAATTTAAAGTCACTGATGGAGTAACAAGGCTACAGCTTAGTCTCAAGCACATATTACAATAATTTTGGAAGAGAAAAGATATATTCTCATACAAAACTCAGAAGGAGCATATTGGAACAGGAAAAGAGTCATTTTGAAAAAAAAGATCCTCAACTTAAGTGCTCTCAATTCTGAATACTAAAAGAGAAAAGAGAATATTCAATTGCATCAGGAAAGCTGAAACAGGAAATAGCTGGTGTATACTCTCAGACATTTAAAATGACAAAAAGGAATGGTAGAGTTTTCTGACCATGGTTTCTGGCCAGTTTGAATTTGTAGATTTGGTAAATTGGGCTCTAACACTTGCTTTGTGAGTTCTTTGTTGAAGGAAGCCCAAAGATAGAATTTGTTGTTATTTATTTTGAGGTAATGATCACGATCTAGCTATTCAAAAGAAAAAAAATCAATGTCCATTTTGACATATCTGTTAATGTAGCATTACATAAAATATCTATTTGTATATAATATACATTTAGTAAAAATCCCTTTTTATCAAATTTAATTAAGTTCCTTTTATTACATTTATTAACATTTTATTTCATTTATTTTTAAATTTTATTTATTTATTCATGAGAGACACAGAGAGAGAGGCAGAGACACAGGCAGAGGGAGAAGCAGGCTCTATGTAGGGAGCCCGACATGGGACTCGATCCCAGGTCTTCAGTATCACGCCCTGGGCCAAAAGTGGCACTAAACTGCTGAGCCACCAGGGCTGCCCTTTATTAACATTTTAAAGCTTGATATTCTTCAACAGTAAAATAGAATAAATTAATGTTGCCACTTGCAAAAGTGAAATATTCTCCATTCTCCTGTTTTAATATACTTTTATGTATTATATGGATTCTGTTTTAAATCCAAGCTATTTTGATGACCTATACAAATTTAGGACAACTGTGAACTCCCACATATCACATAAACCTGGACCTAATACTGAATGTAATTATGTATGCTATATAACACACAAAACCTCTATAGATGAGTTTAAATTTATATTATTTTACCACTGTTATGCATATGGAAATTATAATATGCTAAGGCTAATATAAACTATTTGACATTCCAATCACAGGTTTCAAAAATGTTAGACCGAGCCATAACCAAATTAGGAACAAAATATTGCCTTAGACCCTTCTCATGCTCTCAGCATTGAAATTAGATATTTCAAAGCATCAACTTTTTCAAGTATTTCCTATGGCCAGATTGGAGTATATAGTTGTGTGGTTTACATTATGAAGGATATAATAATAAAGTAAAGCCTTGTTATCCTAGCCCAAAGGGGACAATTGCGGGCACATTGTGAAGAATGGGGTAATATAATTGAAATATGTTTGTTATTTACTGTCAGAGAAAAACAGTGTTCATAGGTATGATTTTAAAAATAGATGCTCAAATTATTTGATAATACTCTTGAAGCAGGATTATTTTACCCCTCCCTTTGAACGTAGGCTAGACTTAGTGACTCTTTTGTAAAGAACAGAAAACGATGGGAGATAGGATGCACTTCTAAGAACACGCACACACACATACACACATGCATGCACCCACGTCTTGGATTTTTCTAATTCTCTCAGGTCTTTTGATCTGGGAATAGCCAGCTCCCATGTTGTGTAAGCAGTTCTGTGAAAAACCCACATGGTGAGGAATTGAAGTTTCTTTTTGCCAACAGCTCCCTGTGAGTGATCTTGAAAGCAGATTCTCCAATCTCTTCAGATGACTGCCATCCTGACCAACAACTTGATTGCAACCTTGTAGGAGACCATGAGACAAAATCACCCATCTATGCAGCTCCTGGTTCTTGTCTTTCAGAAACTTTGTGAGAAAATAAATGTTTATTAGCTTAAGCTGCTAAATTTGGAGACAATTTGTTGCAGCCTTAGTTAATGATAGATTTTAAACTCTCTTCTCTTTTTTGCCTTGCAAGAAAATAATTTACTACCCATATTTTCTGAATGGAAAGCAAAAGTGATTTCCTAACTCACTGTTTAGTTTAAGGCTGAAACAGAAAATGATTTATTAGTAATAAGAGAGTGATTAATAAGTACTCTTGATTGATAGAATGTAGTTTGTACCGTCTAGGAGCTCATTAATTGAAGACAGTGTAAAGGAACTATAATAGTTCCAGAAATTTAAAAATGGTTCATTATCAGCAAATATTTTCATGTAATACATCACTATATCAAAGAAAAAAATCATCCCCAAGAGAAGTCAATATGAACACAGAACAAAAACAATCAACAATGAAAAAATTATCTTAGCAAAGTAGGAATAGGAACAGAAGAAAATTTCTTTAACCTGATAAAGGCATAAACTCAAAACTTCCAACAAATAATTTAGTAAATAGAGATACTTTAGAAACATTTCCACGTCAGGAAAAATGCAATTAGGACATCAGGAATCAATACCTTTTTTCAAAATTTTACTGAAGATACTAGCCAAAAGCAGTAAGAAAATGAAAGAAAAAATATAGGAGGAAGAATGTCTACACAGAAAACTACAGAGGCTCTACAAATCAACAACAGGAAGTCATGAGAGACTTTAGGAACTGTTTTGCCTATAAAATCAGCACTGAAAAAATAACATTAAAAATTAGTTATAACCAATTTTGAATCGTGATTCTAAAATTCTATTCATAATAACAATACAGAATTAAGATATCTAGATTTCATTCTATTAAAGAAACATATGGAGAAAGTTAAAAAACTTTTTTTTAAAATAAAAAGTAATAACTAAATAAGTGGAGAGGTATAATATGTCCACATATTGGAAAAGAATGTCAAAGGGCAGGTCAATTTTTCACAAAGTAGTCTATAATCTCATCAGGTCTCACAGAACTTGATCTAAAACCAATATGGAAGAATAAGAGACTAAGAACAGCTAAAAAAAATTGCTAAATAGAAGAACAAGCTAAAAATAACTTGACATACAATATATAAAGATGTAGGAACTAACAGTAATGTCAGCATTGGAATAGATAAGCATTTGGTCAGAAAAGAGAGATGAACAAGACTTTCATATAAGATATATAAATTTGAAATATGTCACAGATAGCATTTACATTAGTGGAGAAAGGATGGCATAATTGGTTTTCTCTACACAAGTATCTAAAATGAAATTAGATCCTTAACTTATACACCAACATAAAAATGAGATAGACTAAAGCGAGAAAAACTAACTTAAAACTGACCTTTAGAAGGGGAAGTAGTTTTAAACAAGATACTAAAAATGATAAATTCTAGTGGAAAGAACTGATAAATTTAATCATACTGTGTTTTTTTTTTTAATTTAAACTTAAGCAGAGTAACAAAATTAACCAGGGATTTAGAGAAGACATTAACAACACTTACAGCTAGCAAGGATTAACTTCTTTAACCCAGAAAGTGCCCTTATAATTCAATAAGGAAAAATACAAACAGTATACTAGAAAAATGGATAAATTATACAAATAGACAATTCACAGAAAAGGAAAGCTATTTTTTCTATAAACATTTATAAACATTATCAACCTCAATAGCAGAGCACAAATAAATATAATTTACACTGATTGGCAATTATTACAAAAAACTGCCCATGCCAATTCCTGGTAAGATTTGGAAAAAACTGAACTCTTAGACATTGTTCTAATGTGTAAAATTTGACATAAAGACTCTGGAGAGCAATCTCACACTATGTATTAAAGATGGAAATGTAGCTCCCCTCTGATCTAGCAACTATATTTCAATCTATATACTTTAGACCAGAGATTCTCCAGATCAGCAAGATCAGTATCACAACAGAACTTGTTAGAAATATAGTCATTCAAACCTGCTGAATCAGAAACTCTGGAGCCCAACAATTGGTGTTTTAACAGACTTCCAGGTATCTAAAGCACGCTGAAATCAGAGATGTTGCTCTTGAAAAGTTACATGTTCCCAAAGAAACATATAAAATATTGTTCATTTACAAAAGCATTGCTTGCAATAGTGAAAATATGGAAACAATCTAATTGTCTACATTTGATGATAAAAAAATACATTGTAGTATGTTTATATCCTAAAGCCAGAATTTAAAATAAATACACTAATGCTGTTACAAGTGATAGGTATTGCAGAACATTTATATATAAAAATGAAAACAAATGGTTTACCTTTTAAATTAATTACAATTAATAAAATTAATAATTAATAAAATCAGATTTAATAAAAATGGAATTGATAAACACCTAGTGGTCAACTCAGAGAGGTGGAATATAATATTTTCCTCAGCAGAGGGTTTTGAGTGTATTTATACTGGTCTAAACATTTGAGGCAAATAAATAAATGTTGATATTTACAAAGCTCATAAAGGTACACAGAAATATATCATAAAACTTACATCTCCTTTACATATAACTCTGTAATTTATGTTTTGTTGTTTCATTAAAAAAATAACTCTAGGTAAGCTTCCATGTTTGCAAGGACATTTTCATTAAAAAAAAAACAAGTCTAGCTTAACCTAGTTTTGTTAAAGTAATTTCCATATTTTGTGGTCAGGATTATTTGATTTTAGAGAATTTACTATAATCTAATTTTAAAAATCCTATTATATTCAACCATCTGCTAAAATATAAGAAAAGGTCTTTTTGTACAAGATTTCTGTTATGTATCCACTAAGCATGATACTACCTATAATAAACGACCTATCTAAAATATTAAAGGAGTTTAAATCAACAAGGAATTAATTACTACCCACTGATTCTTAAATTGCCTAAAATTTTTGAGATATCCTCTCATTCTGCTCACATAATTAAAGCAGTTGTTGAATAGTAACTTTATGACTTACTTCATACTAAATTGAAGATAGATATATGTAGCCTACTTACATGAGAATTGAATTAGCTAGAATTAGGTAAGGATTTGTTGTACATGCATTAGAAGAATAATAAAAATTATGTACAATGATTAATAGAGCTTTGGAGAAAGTTATTTGTAGGTCTTTAGTCCTTTAAATTAGTCCTTAGATTATAATTAATTCTTTGCTTTGGTTTAACTTTTAATTTTTTTTAAAGATTTTATTTATTTATTCATGATAGACAGAGAGAGAGAGGCAGAGACACAGGAGGAGGGAGAAGCAGGCTCCATGCTGGGAGCCTGTTGTGGGACTCGATCCCGGGACTCCAGGATTGCGCTCTGGGCCAAAGGCAGGCGCTAAACCACTGAGCCACCCAGGGATCCCCTTAACTTTTAATTTTGCTAACATCTCAAATCCTAAGATCAGGTCCCTAATAAGAATAATGATAGTAACATTTTTGTATTTGTTGATATCATAAAGATACTCTGCTAAGTCAATGTTTTAAAAGGCAACAGAGCTCGGATACTAGAAATACATTAATTAAAATAAACAGAAATTTTTGTAACCTTAGACACATGTTACTGTGTTGAAACAATAGATTAGTGTGTTTTTCTTTAAAAAATTCCTTATATTGTCTCTGTGTATTACAGAATATAAATATCATTACAAACATGCTTTAGATAAAATTAAATCATTTTTAGAGACATATGGTGCCAAAAATTAACTCCCCAAAGCACATAATTTAACTGGCTTTTGCAATTTAAGAACCCTGGAAAAAAAGGAAAGGGAACATTTCAAGGAAATGAGAAGTGTCCTTATAATGAATTTCTGCTTATAAGAATCAGACATAACAACAGTCTTTTTAATTAAAATACAAATACCATATGTATAGTTATCTGAAAATGAACTATAAATTGTTTTGCCAGAAAACAAAGACTAGTCAATACTGAAAACACAGAAGTCCCTTAAAACACAAAGGTAATACTGGCAGGACTGATAATTCATGGACAGTACTCCAAGTTCTTCATTTTTGAATAATGATTTTCCATCACTGGAAAATGAAAACAACTGCTGAAGATCTGACTGTTTAGGAGTGTAAAACAATACTTCATTTATAACTTCTTAAGGAAAAATACATAGAAACTGGATGACAGTTCAAAAGAATACAAAATTGTTCTACATACATGAAAAATCCATTGGATATAACATTCATACAGGAAATTCATAGAATCACACCAATAAACAACCCTCATGAAAGTAACATGTAGGACAAACATGAAAGATGTGGAACATTCCAAATTATTGAAGTCCAAATTACTCCCCAGTACACTGGAGTGGGAATTGGGAGTGGATATATGGTGGTGACGATGTGTGACAATTGTCAGAATTTCTGAAGGAAGTACCTGTGTAGGCATGGATTAACTTATCACAGGTATCTGAAAATTTGAAAGTTCATCTAATGGGACCACTAATGAACTTGGGAATTTCATAGGTGAGAAGGCTGTATCCTAAAAGTAGAAATATGAAGAGATTTTACCATAGGAGAAAATTAAAACATTTCATACAATCTACTTGTATTCTCTAACTATAAACATAGTCGAGCAAATAGTCCTACTGTAGAAGCAGCTCTAAGAAAAAAATCACACATATTTGACAAAGGAGAGAAAAAACATGCTATATTCTACAGATTTGCATTTGTACCTTGAGTGATCCAATTAAAATGATAAGCTTTGACAAAATATGATAAAGGGCAGATGGAAAAAAACAGTATTTTCCTATAGGAATATATTTTAAATGATAATAGAAACATACAGTCATTCATTTAAAATAATGATTATAATTTCTGATGCTTGTTACAAGGTTTTATAGAGTGAAAGCATACTTCCTTTCTCTTTTTGACAGATAAATAAAACTGATAAGCAAAGATATGTGCATGCAATTTTAATTCAACAGAGTGATGTGAAGTGAATGCAGCTCACAAGGCAAATAGCATAAGCCTTATCAGTTCTGTTTATCGTAATAACCCAAACAATGGCAATTACAAACTACTCCACAGATTTTTGGCACGGCAGGAATGACAGATATACAAAATCCAGCTAATTCTGATCTTTTTATAGTACTCAGTTACCAAGCTACACATGTACAATATACAAATCTCAAAAGTAATGAGATATTTATTATCAAATCTGTTCCAGAGACTGGTGTTAAAGATCACATAGCTCATTTCTGGAAACCTCTTTTGTCAAATCCTTAGGTATACTTAAAAAAGAAATAAAATAAGACTCACATCCATTCCCAAATCTAGAGCTGGCATTTAAAAAATTAATAAAGAACTGTTTTATTCTAATTATATAAAGAAAAATGCATTTCAAAATTCTGTTTGGACCTCTTCTAATATATAAAAACACTGACGGCAAAAGAGAAAGCAAGCTGAACTATAACAAACACTATTAAGTTTTTTTGTGAAGAAATTATTTTTCTTTTTAATTTTTATTTATTTATGATAGTCACAGAGAGAGAGAGAGAGAGGCAGAGTCACAGGCAGAGGGAGAAGAAGGCTCCACGCACCGGGAGCCCGGCATGGGATTCAATCCCCCATCTCCAGGATCGCGCCCTGGGCCAAAGGCAGGTGCTAAACCGCTGCGCCACCCAGGGACCTCAACACTACTAAGTCTTATAGTTAATAGCTAAAGATCATGTCTATTCCTTTAGATGAATATGCACATGTATTTCTTTTGTATATATTATACTTATAACCCATACTATGACATAGCAGATAATAACTAATCTAATATTTTTATATGTTTAATGATAATAAGGTGCTAAACCACAGACTTTTTAGTTTCACAGATAACTGGTTCTGAAATAAAATTATTGTATTCTATTGAATATTTGATTTAAAAACTATAAAGATAACAACTTAAATTTTTATTTAAATGACTAAATTTCACATACAAGTCATATTAAGAGTTCAGAACTAACTATTCTTAATTCTAAAATTATTGTTTTCTGTGGTTCAAAAAATGATGTTAAATCAAGAATAAAACAATTTTAAAAATTTTGTAATAGAAATTATTTTCATAAGAAAAAATTAACATTACTAAAATGAAAAGTTGGCTGTTTTTTAAAAGTTGCAAATAGAATTGTATAAAGATTAAAAACAAAAGTTATGCTGTCATTATGCTTTAGAGATGAACATATTCTTAACGTATCCATTTCCTTGCCTCCTGTCATTTTTCCAAGAGTAATTAAATCCCTTGATTTTAAAATGTCATCAAATGAATTCTGTTAACCGGTTTTTCTGGTGTTCATTTTGAGTGATTGTTGAACAATTTTCTTTGATGATTATTCACAATATATCTTTATAATCTTAAGAGACCCACTTGTTCTGATGCAAATGAATTAAAACAATGCTTTAAAAATCACATTTACCTAAAATTAATTCACAATAACAACATTATATTAAAAATGATTAATTATAGAGCTCTTTGTTACATTTAGAATTCACAGGAAGGGGATCCCTGGGTGGCGCAGCGGTTTGGCGCCTGCCTTTGGCCCAGGGCGCGATCCTGGAGACCCGGGATCGAATCCCACATCGGGCTCCCAGTGCATGGAGCCTGCTTCTCCCTCTGCCTGTGTCTCTGCCTCTCTGTCTCTCTCTCTGTGACTATCATAAATAAATAAAAATTAAAAAAAAAAAAAAAAAAAAAGAATTCACAGGAAGAAGTATAGTATTTTTTCTACTTTAAAGACATCAAGTTTATTTATTTCTTTTACACACAGGTAAACATAAATGTTTCTGAAATTATTTGTTTTAAACTATTTGCAAAAATTCAACTGAAAGTGCAAAGAAAATATGAAACACAATCATACAATGAGGCAGAGCCTGGGAGCAGAAAGAAACTGCTCTACCGCTATAAGAAATCAGGGGTCAGGTAACTATGGACTTCTTTATAAACTACATCTAAAATGAGAAAGTCTTAAGATCTTATTCTTGTCTTAGCTTCTTGTTACTTATCTTATTTTGGGGGCTAGATGGATTTCAACAATAAGAAGAAAATCTTCAAAATAGTGGAAATTGTCATAGATGACAAAAATTTACTAATCTATCTGTTGGCTTGAACTAATTTAATTAAATATGGAATTCAACAAATATTATAAAAACATGTTATAGTAAATCAACTCCTTTTAAGAATTAGTTACTAATCTTATTCTTTCACCAAACACTATGAACTAAATTCCAAGATAATAAAAGATCTGAAAAGAACAATGTTGACAATGATTAATATAAATGGAATGATAGTACCCACAGTAGGAAAGTTACAGATGTTCTGCTAAATTCTGGAGATTTTGATAAGTAGTATTTGAATTATTGGATATTTGAAAACACAAGCAGATGTAGGTATTGGCATGCTATATGACTTTGGGTGCTAATATCATTTGAACTTTGACTTATTGAAGGAAGAAGTATAATACTAACTGGTAGTGTCAGTAAAATATATATGTAGCCACTTAGCATTTCAGGTGTCTGTTGGCCAACTGTACAGCTGTGGAAAAAAATGTCTATTCAGGTCCTTTGCTCATTTTTAATTGGATTGTTTTTTGGTGTTGAGTTGTAGAAATTGTTTGAATATTTTGGATATTAACCCCTTATTGGATATATCATTTGCAAATATCTTTTCCCATTCAGTAGGTTGCCTTTTCATTTTGTTGATGGTTTCTTTTCTTGTGCAAAACCTTATTTTTATGTTATACCAATTGTTTGTTTTTGTTTTTAATTCTCTTGCCTTAGGAAACTTATCTAGAAAAATGTTTTTACAGTTGATATCAAAGAAATTATGGCCTATTTTCTCTTCTAGGATTCTTATGATTTCAGGTCTCACATATATGTCTTTAATCCATTTTGAATTTATTTTTGTGTATGGTGTTGAAAGTAGTACAGTGTCATTCTTTGGATGTTTTCCTAACATCATTCTTTGAAGAGACTGTCTTTTCCCCATCGTATATTCTTACCTCCTTTGTCATAGATTAATTTACCATATAGGTGTGGGTTTATTTCTGGATTTCTATCTTGTACTATAGACCTATGTGTTTATTTTTATGCCAGTACCATACTGTTTTATTATAGCTCCGTAGTATATCTTAAATTCTGGAATTGTGACACCTTCAACTTTGTTCTTCTTTCTTAAGATTGCTTTAGTTATTGAGGGTCTTTTGTATAAAATAATACAAATTTTAGCATAATTTGTTCTAGTTCTGTGAAAATGCTGCTGGGTTTTGACACGAGTTGTACTGAATCTGTAGACTGCTTTGGGTAATATGGACATTTTAGCAATTATTCCAATCAATGAGCAGAGAATATCTTTACATCTGTTTGTGTCATCTGAAATTTCTTTCATCATTGTTTTACAGTTTTCAAAGTACAGGTCATCTCCTTGGTTAAGTTTATTTCCGGGAATTTTATTCTTTTTGGTACAAGAATAAATAGAATTGTTTTCTTAATTTCTCCTTCTGCTACTTTGTTATTAGTATGTAGAAATGCTAGTGAATTCTGGGTATTAGTTTTGTATCCTGAAACTTTATTGAATTCACTTATTACTTCCAGTAGTTTTTTGGTGGAGTCTATGGTTTTCTATATTTGGTATTATGCTGTCTACAAATTATGATAGTTTAACTTCTTCCTTAACAATATGGATGTCTTTTATTTCTTTTTCTTATCTGATTGCTGTGGTCAGGATTTCCAGTACTATGTTGAATAAAAGCAGCAACAGTAGATGTCCTTGTTTGTTCCTGATCTTAGAGGAAAAGCTCTCAGTTTTTAGCTATTGGTTTTTCATATATGGTCTTTATTATGTTGAGGTAATTTTCCTCTAAACCCACTTTTTTGAGACTTTTTATCATGGACCGATATTGAATTTTGTCAAATGCTTTTTCTGTATCTACTGAGATCATCATATAATTTTTATTCCTTGTTTTGCTGATGTGGTATGTCACACTGATTGATTTGCAAATATTGAAACATGCTTGCACCTCTGGAACAAATACCACTTCATCATGGTGAATGATCTTTTTAATTTATTGTTGAATATGGTTTGCTAATATTTTGTTGGGATTTTTGCATCTATGTTAATTAGGGATATTGTCCTATAGTAGTTTGTGTCGTGTTATGGCTTTGGTATCAAAACCTTACTATTTTTTGGATCTATCCTTTTCTTTTTTTTAATTTTTATTTATTTATGATAGTCACACACACACATACACACACAGAGAGAGAGAAAGAGAGAGAGAGAGAGAGAGAGAGAGAGAGGCAGAGACATAGGCAGAGGGAGAAGCAGGCTCCATGCACCAGGAGCCCGACGTGGGATTCGATTGTGGGTCTCCAGGATCGCGCCCTGGGCCAAAGGCAGGGCTAAACCGCTGCGCCACCCAGGGATCCCTGTCTATCCTTTTCTGATTTTATTCTTGGTTTGCCTCTATTGTTCTAAACTTCCCTTTTAGTCTTATGTGC